CCGCCTCTCCCCCTCCCTCCCTGGCTCCTCTCCGCCTCGAAGGCCCGTCGTGTGAGGAGGAGCCGTCGCCGCCTGCTCGTTGCTGGCTTCGCCGCCGCCGCCGCCGCCGCTCCTCCTCCTCCTCCCTCGCTTCCCTTTTCCGCCGGCTGCCAGGCTCCTGCCCTCCTCAGGTACGTCGCTCCGGCCGACCGGCCGCCATCTCCTCCCGCTCTGATTCCTTCCTCGGGCCGGGTGAGGGCAGCCGCTTCGTAGGCAGCCGCGGCGGCCGGGCGGGGAGGTGCGAGGGCTTAGCGGGGCTGCTTCCGTGGCACTGGGCCGCCGCCGTTCGGGATTCCTACTCTGCTTGGGCCCGCTAGGCCCGGCTGGGGTACGCGGGGAATGGCTGGCGGGGACATCCGGCCACGGATCTCAGGGGTGGCCGCGTGGAGGAGTCTCCTCATGCCCCCCTTCTCTGCAGGCCGTGTTGCCGGGGGGGGTGATCTCAGGGGAAGGGGCACCGAAGCCCCACCGACCTGTGGGGGTTTCTCTGGCGCTGCTTCTGGACCCCAGAAAGAGAACGGTCTTTTGGGGGGTGCGGAGGGAGGAGATGAATCAGGAGAGTAACTCTTAACAGCCTTGCAGTAGTATCCTAAATTCGTACGGGGTCTTCGGGACAGAAGGAGCGCTCTTTTCCTCCTCCTTTTTCAAAAATAGGGGGAATCAGCCACTCCCCTACCGCTGCATCCCTAGAAGGCCCAGTCTTCTCATTCTGTGGAAATCATGTGAAGGTGTGGTGAATAGAGGGATTATTCCCTTCTCCCCTGAAACTACTGAGAATCCCATTTCTCTCCTTCCCATTTGTTTTTTAATGTTTGTTTGTGATTTTAATCTATGTTAATGATTTCCTTGTATAGATATAGATTAAGGCCCGAAGCAGGGTGTACCTCTAAGAGGTTATTGGGATTTACTTGTGTCAAAATGTGCTACAAGGGATTGGGGTGCATGACACTGGGTTGGAAGACGATCAGAGAGGAGGGAGCCTTTGGGAAGGGGTCAGAACTGCAGTTCTGAGTATATATAGCTGGGGTTGAGTCAGCTAAGTTGACATACTGAAATGTGGCATGGGTGGGGAACAAGAAGACCTGTATATCCAACTGAAAAAAATGCTAGTCTGTCTAGCACAAAACCTAATGTGCATTCACTTGTCTACTCTCTGTCCCAAGCCTGAACTCCCATAGACCTGAATAAGATGAGGTTCTTTGCTTTCTTGAAGAATCCAAGAACTGTCATTCAACAAAGGTGTATGGGGTGATTTTTCATGGCACCTTTTGACCGTAAAAACTAGGTATTTTGGAAGTCAGGAAGAAAAGAGAATCTCCCTTTTCACTGAGTTGAAAGAGAGAATGGCTTCTGGTAGGTATTTTAACCCAACCCTTAGTGTTAAGTTTTAAAAAGCTATCCAGGCATTCCTTCTAGTTGGTTATGGATAAGGGAACAAAGGGCTGGTTCAAGCCACATGGAACTGTTACATAGTGTTGTAAGAACAAGCTGGTAGGAGCCCCTGCTTTGGCTCTCCCCCACTTCTTATATGAAAGGAAAATCAGAAGCACCCAAAACTGATCACGGTTTTCTGTGCTGTCTAAGCACAAACAAGTGTGTGTTCTTTGACTGTGAAGCAGGAATTTTATTTTTGCATGTGCAAGATTAGAGCTTGTATGAAGACTGCAAGAAACTGGCTTACTCAGAATCAGATTGTTGATCTGTGTCATTAGATATTGATTACAGTATATTGAATGAAAGCTGATCTCCAGGGCTTCTGATAGGGAGGCAGGGTTTTCATAGCCTTCCCTGGAAATGTCAGGAATTGAAACCAAGACATTCTTTGCTATTGAACGGTGGCCCTTACCAAGAGTTGTGTCCGCTTGATCCTAGAATGCTAAGCTGATCCACACTTAATTATTGTATTTGAACTGGACTCAACAGTTCTTTCCTTTAAAATTCATAGTTGAGAGTGATTCTAGCGATGCATTGGGCTGAGATTGATTTTCTTTAATGCTGTGGTTCATTGTTTCTTGAACTGGTACGCAGAATGCCTGAACAGCCTAAGGATTGTTCAAACAAAATCAGATAATGAAATAGACTGAATGTTACTACAGTTTTAAGACATTCTTTGACAAATCTCTCTTCTGATGTTGATGAAATATGCCATTGTATGTAAGCTCATACACCCCATTAAGATTTATTGTCAATATATTAAATGTAATGGAAAAGAATTTTAATATTTTATTTTAATCATTCCTTTTTTAAAAATGCAGGTGTTTATACACACATGCACACAAATATTGTTCAGTGTTCTGTGGCCTTATAAAGTACACAGTGGCAGTAAAGGCACATTGTCACTGAACCTTGGAGATGACTATGAAATAAAGAAAAATAATGGCTTAAACAGAATAATTTTGTCATTTTGGTGAAATTCTCTCCCTTCTCATTATTTTGGTTTATTGACAACATTTAGCACTGCAGTATACAAATGGGATGTCTTTTCATTGCACCATTTGTTCTTTTTAAAAATGTTGCAAATGTATTTTAAATGCAGGTGGGAAGAAAAGAAAAGGAGTTTTGCCATTATATATTCTGAGTGTAACTGTTTCTATAACAGTGCATCTTTTTATGCTTGCCTTACAGTGGTATGATGAGACTCTTGTATAGTACTTGTCATGATTTAATCATCATATTTTAGCATAATAAAATTGGTTCAGTAATGGATTCTCTGTAACCTTTAATGACTATTTGCCGAGAATGTTTTAAGGATTTGTTGTCTTGCATATTCTTAGAAGAAACTGCCTCAGATGTCACTGAATTTAGAGAAGCAGTTTCTGTAAATAGAACAGCAAATGAAGTAGTCCGAAATATATTTCTCTTGCTTGTCCACTAGATTTCAGTGGAACTTCAGATTAAGTATTTGCTTAGGTTTGCAGTTGAACACCAACAGCCCTGTTAGCCCTGTTACCTAAAAAAGCAAAGTTTATAATAATGTTCTTTGTCTACTCCCCCCCCATCTACTCCAAAAATGAAGTTGAATCAGGATTTCTGAAATGGCTATGTAAAAAATGGAAGATTTTCAAGTCAGTGGTTATTAACCTGAATTTGGAACTGAGACTCTGCTAATGTAATTGGCTGTCCCTTCAGTATTTAAATTATTTTGTTGGTATTTGTTACTGTTATGAAGTATGGCACCAGTGCACATTGATTCTTGGTTCCTTTGAATGAGATGCATGGAATGGCTACTGAGCCATTCCATGCAGCTGATGGTGAGCTGTAGCTTACAAAAGCGTATTTTAATTGGAAAAGGTGCTACCCAGCCTCTTCCTAATTTTTGGCTACCATAGAGTAATATGGCTCTCCTCCTACAATAATTCTGTTGGAGTTTTCCTGTAATATGGATCTTACAAGCAAATATTCTGTAATGCAACATGTTCTCCATCCCAAAATATATACAGTGGGGCAAAAAAGTATTTAGTCAGCCACCAATTGTGCAAGTTCTCCCACTTAAAAAGATGAGAGAGGCCTGTAATTTTCATCATAGGTATACCTGCTTGTTTGTAGGTGACCAAATACTTATTTTCCACCATGATTTGCAAATAAATTCTTTAAAAATCAGACAATGTGATTTTCTGGATTTGCTTGTTTGTAGGTGACCAAATACTTATTTTCCACCATGATTTGCAAATAAATTCTTTAAAAATCAGACAATGTGATTTTCTGGATTTGCTTGTTTGTAGGTGACCAAATACTTATTTTCCACCATGATTTGCAAATAAATTCTTTAAAAATCAGACAATGTGATTTTCTGGATTTGCTTGTTTGTAGGTGACCAAATACTTATTTTCCACCATGATTTGCAAATAAATTCTTTAAAAATCAGACAATGTGATTTTCTGGATTTGCTTGTTTGTAGGTGACCAAATACTTATTTTCCACCATGATTTGCAAATAAATTCTTTAAAAATCAGACAATGTGATTTTCTGGATTTGCTTGTTTGTAGGTGACCAAATACTTATTTTCCACCATGATTTGCAAATAAATTCTTTAAAAATCAGACAATGTGATTTTCTGGATTTTTTTCCCCATTTTGTCTCTCATAGTTGAGGTATACCTATGATGAAAATTACAGGCCTCTCTCATCTTTTTAAGTGGGAGAACTTGCACAATTGCTGGCTGACTAAATACTTTTTTGCCCCACTGTATGAGGCTTTTTGGGAAAAAAATGGAGTCTGAATGAGATTTGATCAGTTGTACTTCGGGTTCACATTTTTTCAAACTGGTATTTCCATATACATTAGCTAAAACTTCTGTTCTGAAGTAGCATGGCCTGCAGCAGAAATTGTTGTCCAACATTTTTTAGAGAAAACTAATTTGGGAAAGGCTGAATTTATTTATACTTACCTGTTGTATCATGAGAATACTTTGCATTAAGCATCTTTGTATCTTAAAAGTGATATAAAATGTTATACAACATTTCTGTATCTATTAGTAGTATGATGAGACTTGAGGGACAGAAATGCTTAGTGACCTCCCTGCAATGACAGAATTGTCCCTGAATAACTAGATGTGCAGTGCAGTCCCATGTGTTCAAAAAAATTTGCAATGTTATACGTACTGTCTATGTGCTTACTGATTATGGTTCTGTAGTGCTTATTCCTAGATATGCTGATGGATTGTACTATAAATCTTGCAAGATTAATGGCAGGAAATTCCATATGAAGTGTGCAGAAGATTGCCAGCTTTGAGTTGTATTTTGGATCTGTTGGAAAAGTTTAGCCCGATAATGGGCTGAAAGCTGGCAGGATTTTGATTTCTTTGGCAAGGTTTTTTCTTAATTAAAATATATTTACTTGAATTTTAAAATATTAAGGAACTGCTTTAAAGTTACTATGCAAACAACTATGGCATTTCAGCCTTTTAATCTAAATAGTTTATACTTTTTAATATCCAGAAATATCTTGTAAGGGTCAAGGGTAAAATTTCACATGGAGTAGAGATAGACTCTAAAAGCTCTGAAAGTATTCCTGGCAGGCCTTTTATGTGTAAGATGTGTCCAGACCAGTGGAATCTATGGGTTTGGACTTGAAAATGTCTGATATTGCACAGGAACAAGCTGTAGGCATCACTTACAGCAATTTCAGCTTG